CTTCCTGTGTCAGCAAATATTCCCATAGCACTGATGGAAGATACCATACATCACACTGTTTTTAATCTCATAATCCATTGAAATTGGTTTGATGTTCTCTTTGCCACCTTAACATAATACAAAAAGTGGACACCATTCTTGGGCCTTTTGAGGAGAGGTATTGTATGAGCTGGACAGGAACATCTCATCAACTCCTGTCTTATGCTAATACTTCTTGCTCAGTGCTTATACTCACTTGGCAATCCTTCTAACTTTGAGAGTCTTCAGTTTGTTCTCTATTTTATGAAATAGAAATACAGTTGGAAGTGGATGGATGTGATTTGCTTTCTTAAGTTTTCTGTCAGGCAGACTTTAGTGGCAAAATGAACGCCGCCTCTAGAGCTGCATACATTTCAACCATGTAAGAGCACACTGGGTTATGTGGAGGGCAGTTAGCAAACTGTCCATGGATTCCTTGCATGGGGTTGTCTCCATGAACATAAGGCCAAAGGTTGTTTGTCATGTTAGAAAGGGTTCCAAACAACATCATGGCCTTTCCATTGCTCCAAGAGTTCACTCAAGGAACCACACAAAATGGCGCCAGTGCTGGCTCTAGGTGGCTTCTACTATCCTTGGAAAGAAGGCCTTTGTGCCTGTCTTTCTCTGCAGAGTCAGTGGCAAAGATCCAGAGAGCCTTCATAGCAGAGCCCTCATAAAGTTTCCTGCCTGATGTCCTGACAGCAGCAGTGGGTCCCCAACCGCTACCAACTCTTAGGCTTCCGGCCGGGGCTCCAGCCTGAACCCCTGGTGCTATCAGCTCCAGACCAGATGCTTGTCAGGATACTGTGGTAAAACTGTACAGAGCACAAACTGCAATTTGGGGTTTTCTCCGGTGTCATTTACGAAGACAAATTGGATGGGGTGGGGTGGAGGGTGAGCAAGAGAGGAAAAAAGATGCCTTGCCTTGTCATTGCCTATTATTCATGCTTGTTTTTCTCTTTCACATGCTGAAAAGAAACTTGGGCAAAAAAGAAGTCCCCCATTTCTGTTAAGAGCTGGAATTTGGGGGAAATCTGAATGACCCAGCTAGGAAGGGGCTGGAGAAATGGTCTCACCATGAACTGTGACCATATTGACTCTTTTGTTTGTCCCCCTAGTGGTACAATGGGGGAAACGGCACCTCCTGGGCATTGATCAAAACTTGAATTTTGTAGGGAAGGCAAAGAAAAAGAAAACATTTTTTCAATCACTCATGCAATGACTGAATCAAAGCATGCTTCTTGAGTGACAAGTGTGATGATGCAAGTTGATTCCCCATCCTCCCATTCGGGACTGGGTTTTTCAATCTCTCCTGCCATCCATACTCTCTGCATTGACATTTTCTCCTTTAAAGGACATTCAAGTAGTCTGAAAAGTTACAATCGGGCATCATTATGGTATAGACCAGGGGTCCTCAAACTTTTTAAACAGAGGGCCAGGTCACTGTCCCTCAAACTGTTGGAGGGCCAGATTATAACTTTAAAAAAACATGAATTAATTCCTATCCACACTGCACATATCTTATTTGTAGTACAAAAAACACTTTAAAACAATACAATAATTAAAATGAAGAACAATTTCAACAAATATGAACTTATTAGTATTTCAATAGGAAGTGTAGGTCTGCTTTTGGCTGATGAGATAGGATTGTTGTTGTTGTTGTTGTTGTGTGGTTTCAAGTCATTTCAGACTTAGGTTGATCCTGAGTGAGGGCCGGGTAAATGACCTTGGAGGGCCGTATCCGGCCCCGGGCCTTAGTTTGAGGACCCCTGGTATAGACTGTATAGAGCTTACTCTTTCAGAAGGAGATGATGGAATATTGCCAGGGTTGCCAGCTCTTTGTTGTTTGGAGAAAGGTCAAGAAGGTTTAGATCTGGGGTGTTGTTGTTTTTGACCAGGATAATGGACTATCTACTTCATCACACTAGAGAATGAATCCACTTTAAATCCGGTTTCTGCCTCCTGCAGAATTCTGGGGTTTGTAGTTTAGGAAGACTGTTAAAGGCTCCTCCCTAAACTACAAACTCCAGAATTCTGCATAGTCACCTACTCAGGATCAAGGGGAGTGAGACAGGAAGTCAGGAAGGAAAAAGAAGAAAGCAGGGCAAAGCAGATCATATCAGAAGTGCCAGTTCTACTCCAATGGAGTCTAGAGAACTGCAGAAGGCAGAAATGGATTTAGGGCCAGACCTCTGTAGCGTGTTTTATAATGGCCTTAGTTGAACCATGGGATTAATTTAACTACAAGGCTTTAGGCCCAGCGTAGAATGCCATGAATTTCTCCATGCTTTATGAGCAGGATGCAAGACAAAATGATGAAGAATGACTTTAATCTGCTATCCAAGTGTTCAGATCTGGATACACTCCCTTGATGTTTGTAATAATCATTTGTGTTTCTAGTTTCAAGGAAATAACCAGATGTTTCCATCATGTTTGGGGATAGATTGTAACATTCCTACTGTATTGTCTCCCATACAGTGATTCAGGCCAGGAAAAAAAAACAACTTTTCATAACACATTTATTGAGGATAAATACCTGCAAAAGTTGTCAGAATCAATGCAGACTGAAAGCCAAACTATACATTAGAAGTGTGAGATGGGAAGGATATAAACACAGAAGATATAATTGATCATTTCCCTCAAATAAATTAAGGCTCTCTTTGTACAATTAATGGCTTACTAATGATAAACTACTAGTAAGTGAAGAATGCAATCCTCTGTCCCCTAGGTGGCACAGAGTTCCTGCCCTTTACTAAAAGTAATGTTTAATTGGTCCAAGAGGTAAACATCTTTCCAACATGTAATAATGATGAACCAAAATGTCCCATAATCTTGTGCAAGCTTTTGAGTTCTCCAGAATTCATCATGAGACTGGGTGATACCAAAAGCAAGTGATCATTGGACATCTAAACCAAAGTATAGAGAATAGACCAGATATATTGTTGAAGGTTTTTATGGCTGGAATCACTGGGTTGTAGTAGGTTTTTGGGCTATATGGCCATGTTCTAGAAGCACTCTCTCCTGACATTTCACCTGCATCTATGGCAGGCATCCTCAGAGGTTGTGAGGTCTCACAATCTCTGAGGATACCTGCCATAGATGCAGGCAAAACGTCAGGAGAGAATGCTTCTAGAACATGGCTATATAGCCCRAAAAACCCACAACAATTTAGACCAGGTAATTTGATTATGAGATCTATATTTCAGAATTAAGACTCAAGGCTGAGATGGCCAGCTTAYTTGTCCGAACGCATCTCCCTCTACATCCCTGCTTGCAGTTTAAGATCAACCGGGGAGGCCCTGCTCTCGCTCCTGCTAGCATTGCAAATATGTCTGGCGGAAACAAGAGACAGGGCCTTCTCGGCTGTGACCCCCRCCTGCGGAATTCACTTACCACTGAAGTAAGACTGGCTCCGTCCCTCCTGTCATTTAGGAAGAAATTGAAGTCGTGGTTCCGGGACCAGGCTTTTGGACAACAGGCATAGATAGCACTTTGGGATATGGAATTGGATATGGAATTGACTGGAATGATGATACGGMTGTTAATACTGGTTTTACTGTTTTAATTAATGTTTTACTTATTGTTGTAATTGTTTTTATATTGCTCTGTTATATGTAGTGGCATCAAATTGCTGCCAAATGTAAGCCGTCCTGAATCCCCCTTCTGGGGTTGAGAAGGAACGGATAGAAATAACATAAATAAATAAATAAATAAATAAATAAATAAATAAATAAATAAATAAATAAAGTGATAACTGCCAGGTGATGGCTATTCTGGGAGAAGGAAATAGTAACCATACAGTGATGTTTGACTACACCTTTGTCCCAGAACAATCCATATAACCTGATATCCTTTACTACTACTACTACTACTACTACTAGTAGTAGTAGTAGTAGTAGTTATATGCCTTCAACTGAACCTTGACCTTCCCAAATTCTGAATCAGGGTAGAGGGGACACATATAACATCTGGATATGTTGGAACATGTCTATCACCTTTAGCCTGTGTTGCCAGTAGATAGGAATTTTGCAAGATGCAAGGTTACCCGTTCCCTATCCTGGTCTGGATAGTTCCTTATCCAGAATAAGCCCTTTTTTCATAAGTAAACATAACTATAGTAACTGTGTGGATGTCATGATGCCTATCAAGCAAAGTAATATAAAGGAGAAGAAAGGCTATGCAGGGCATTCTCTCAAAAAAGGAAATTAACATCTGATCCTTCTTTTGATCTGAAGGCTTTTCGAAGAAGAAGAAAGGATGTCAAGGGGCTTAGCAAAATTAAAGTGCATTCCTGTGCCTCCGGTGTCACCCTATTTTAATTATACAATACAGAGTTCGAAAGCAGGTCATTAACAACCAAAGTAATTATACATTTCAAAGCGGGTGACCAAATAAGAGTGGTGTTCCTACATTTATAAATTCGTTTTGTTAGTATTCACTTCTTACTGCCCAGATACGTCATTTTTTGCTTCTCAAATGATATGTTTGAAATGTTTGTGTGCAGTTGCCTCCAGCACACAGTTCTGCTTTCACAGATGAAGACTTACCTAAAACTAGCAAGGATTGAACATGAGATTTTCTGTGTGCAAAGCATGTGCACAACCAGTGAGTTACCATTGATGTGACTTCTTGATTTTCCAGGGAAACAGGAGGAGGGGTCTCTTGGCTAGTGCAACTGCGGAAATTAGGAAATTTATGAAGGAATTCAATTGGCCCAGCATGGGAAGCCTTCTAAGTATGGTGCCTCCCAGGCCCTTGGTCCTGGCATGGGAAGACCTGTGAGCGCATGCCTTGCATATGTGTTGTGTGGGTGGCAAATCTGTGCCAAAGGCCAGCGATCATTGAGAGAAACTGCCGCTCCTTTCACTTGGTTTTCACTCTCTTATTTGGGCGATTTCCTGGTGCCTTTAATGCTGAAGCAAATTACAGGCCTTTGGAGCCAGGGCCTCCTGGAGCAGAGCTTTGCACCAGCCGGACCCTAATCACGGACTCCCTGACTCCCACAAAGGCCTGGCTTTAATTGCCCATGACATGCTAATCTGCCGGACTGACTCAAACACTCCTTTATCTGTGTCTCTCTCACTTCCCTCCTCCTTTCACTCACAGCTTCCCGATCTCCACCATTTCTGTGAGCCGTTTACACTGACCCAGCCTGTGAGGGGACTTCCTGGCCTGTAGGAGCTCCTTTTCCAAGACAGAAGAAGCCCTGTTTAACCTTGTCCCCACTGGTAATTCTGTGCATTTCTAGAAAGAGCAGCTAGAAGAAATGAAACTTTCCTCCTGCTTGTGCAAGTGTTTTTATTTGAGCTTCCTCCTTACAGCTCTTCTGCAAGAGTCAGAAAGCCTGAATTCAGACAATCCTGAATGCAGTCAAGGGGAAGGTGATCCTCCATGTTTGAGTTCTCTGGTGGCTATGCCTCTTCCTTTGCTGGAAAAAGGATGTGATGGACTAGGAAGCTGCAGACTCCATATCCTCATGCCTGAAGAGCCAGTCATACCTGAGGAAATTCAAGATGTTCCAACTGGAGAACAGCAGATGGAGTTCAAGCAGGTGATGAAACATGCTGGAGATCCCAACAAACAGGGATCATCTAAGGCTAGGACTTTGATGGATCGTCTTAGTTTGGTGGAAACCAAAGTGCTGTCCATGGCATCGAGCCTGCAGAAGTTGCAAGAGGAGAGCAGACTCAATCTGAATCGCCTAGAAGAGCAACTCAACTCTTTGGTGGCTTTGTTGCTGGGAATCCTGTCTGGCTGCAAATTGCCTTGCAGTGAATCAGTCCTGAAGTCATCCATTTTAGGTGAGTATATGAAGGCACTCAATTCTCCACTCTCTGTCTGTTCTCTTTTCAAGAGTTAGTTTTATCTTCAGGAGAGTACAGTGATCCAAACAGCAATCACTGAAATGTCTGAAGCTTAGGGAGATTGAGTACCGTGAGTACTGTGAAAGGAGACTCTTGTGTATATAGTATTGAGTTCCATGGTCAAAGAAAGTAGGACATACATGAAATAAACATGCAGCCTCATAAGAAGTGACCAAGATTGCAAGCAGACATGGGATTAATAGGGCAACACACACAATATCCTACAAAATACCCACTTGATCTTGGAAGGTAAGCAGTGGCTAGTATTAGATGGTGGACCATCAACAAATACCACATACCGCAGGCTATATTTCAGAAGAAGGAACTGGTAACATCCAAAGGAATTCATAGGTTTGCCATGAGTCAACAGGCAACTTGAAGGAACATACATACACACGTGTACATACATATGCGCATACATGTGCATACACACACAAACACATATTCAGAGAGAATGTTATCTAGTAGAATTCCTATTGTTATTTATTTGTTGCTCTAATATCTTGCTCTTCATCCCTATGAGGTTTATGGAGAGTTACCAAGGGTTACCAAGAAGTTCCATGGCTGAGTGGGGAATGGAATGTGGATCTTTTAAAGGGGAGGAGAAAGTCCATACGGAGAAAGAAAAGCCCTTAAATAAAGCTAAAGATTGAACTATGCAGGCTACAGGATTATAGAAAGTGTTGTTCAAAATGAAACCTTTTCCAGCTTTTCACGATAGGTGGTAAAGGGCTGCTGCACCTGAGTTAAGGAAGAAGGGATGTCTGCTGCCTAGGTAATTGTTATCTTCAGAAGCAACTGAGGCAGAGAGCATGATCCAGAATATGATGTAGGCATCACCATGATAAAATAATGATCCATCATGCTTGGAGTGGGACAAGGATTGTTTGCAACTAAGAGCTCATATGGGAAAAGGGGGATATAAATTGAAGGCAAGTAGGCACACTTGCACAATAGTACTTCACAACCTGCTGTTGCTACTACCAAATATGTTTAACAGACCCCCTATTAGCAATGCTACTGGTTCCTCCTCTACTGCTAAGCCAGGAGTTGCGTTTTGCCCCTCATCTCCTGTTGCTACTGAGTTGGGGTGCAGTTGTAAAAGGCTGTGTAGCAGACCTGGCCGTACCATTAGGGGAAGCCACTTGAGGTGCCCAGTGCTAGAGGATGGGGGTGAAGAACAGGGGTCATGCCAAGGTACCAGAGGATAGATCAGTGTGTACCATGCAGCCTTCTCCATCCTGTTCCTCTTGGGCACAGTGGAGGCTGTCACACCACCAGTTTCAAAGATTGAATTGCCAGAAAATGTGCCCCCTTCAGAATTAAATCCTCCCCTCCCCTGCTCTTTGACATCTTAACAGTTGTCCCAGGAGGAATTTGGCAACTGTAGTAAAGAGAAATACTGAGAGGTTCCCTTCTGCCTGTTCTAGCCATCACATTGGTTTGCCTGATGATGTAAAGGAAATCGTTTTATCTGGTGAACATAATTAGCCCACTGTTCACCATCTTCTCAGTTGGGACTCTGACTTTTCCTACCCAATATCCTCCCTACATTTTCAATTAAATAAGGACAACAAAGAGATGAAGATACTAGAACTGAAGGGGAGCAAAACAAGGCAAATCCAAGATATTTTTTGCCTGAGATAAAGCTACAAACAGGCCCCTCTTAGCCAATCAAACAGCATAACAGACAATAACAGACTCATAAATGAAAAGTTCTTATATTAGAGGCACTTCTATCCCCAGCAGTAAATATACTGTACAATAATAACAAACCACAGTTTTTGCTTTTTGTGGATCAAGAATCTGTTGTCTCTCTTTCCCTAATAATAAGGCCAACACAGGGTTGATTGTCGTTGTTGTTTTTGGTCTCTTTGGGAAGAACATCTTACTAAATGCTAATATTTTGATAAATGTTTTTAATGTTTATGTATGTGTATATGAATGTGTGTCCCGACATTGAATGTTTGCCGTATATATGCTGTTCTCTGCCCCGAGTCCCCTTTGGGCTGAGAAGGGCAGAATATAAATGTTTTAAATGATTTTTAAAAATTACTTGTGAATATAGACAGTGAGCAGCTTCCAGCTTTTTCTGTGCAGTGATGCACATGCAATGAGGTCTTGTGGCAGATGTAGAGGAAGAAATGCTTTAAAATGTCAATTTGGCAGGGGATCAGAATTGGGCAGCTGTGACTCTCTAATCTTCATTCCTCCAGGACCCAAACATCCCAGACAGAATAGCCAATGGTGAGCAATTATGGGAGTTGCAGTTGAAGAAGCATTGTGCCCACTTGCCATAGAATCATAGAATCATTGAGTTGGAAGAGACCTCGTGGGACATCCAATCCAACCCCCTGCCAAGAAGAAGGAAAATTGCATTCAAAGCACCCCCAGTAGATGGCCATCCAGCCTCTGTTTAAAAACCTCCAAAGAAGGAGACTCCACCACACTCTGGGGCAGAGAGTTCCACTGCTGAAAAGCTCTCACACTTAGGAAGTTCTTCCTAATGTTCAGGTGGAATCTCTTTTCCTATAGTTTGAAGTCATTGTTCTGCATCCTAGCCTCCAGGGCAGCAGAGAACAAGTTTGCTCCCCTATGATTGTCTCCTCTCAGCCTTCTCTTCGGCAGGCTAAACATGCCCAGCTCTTTAAGCTGCTCCTCATAGGGCTTGTTCTCCAAACCCTTGATCATTTTAGTTGCCCTCCTCTGGAGACATTCCACCTTGTCAACATCTTCAATTGCGCTGCCCAGAATTGGACACAGTATTCCAGGTGTGGTCTGACCAAGGCAGAATAGAAGGATAGCATGACTTTTCTGGATCTAGACACTATACTCCTATTTATGCAGGCCAAAATCCGCTTGGCTTTTTTGCTATTGCATGACTTTTTTTTTTTGTCGTTCCATTATCATTAGTTAGTTATCAAGACTTTTAGATGGTTCAGTGCAAATTTTTAATGCATTTTCTTTTGAACACAAAAATCAGGTAGCAATGGCAGCTGCTAATTCTTTGCTATTTGCACAGATTGAAAAATAGTTACTTTGGCCTGATGGAAATTTGAAACTTCAGTTCCTCCAGTCTCTTACATTGGCCTTGCTACATGGTATTGTTTGGGGTTGCTGGGCCAAAGATCTGGAAGGCCAAAGGTTCCTCACTTTTGGTTTAAAGCATAACATTGAAAGCAGGTGCCTTATTTTATAGGGGGGCATTTGAAGGCATCCTCTGTTTGAAAAGCTGAGCCGATCACGTGGGCTTTAAAAATAAAGAAGCAATAAGTATCTACTGAATTGCCAGCTTTGTTCACAACATTCAAACTAATAGAGCAGTTATATTCTAGTCTAAATACCTGCAGCAATGTGTGTCAAATGTTTAGCAAAATTGTATTACGAATACAAAGCTAAGATAATCAATTATGAGTGATTAAGAGAAGTTTTATAGAAATATTTTGCAGCATCTGCACTGATTCACAGTTCTTTCACAGATTTAGGGAAAGAACACAAGGCTGAAGAGACAACGGCACTTTTGGGTTAGTATAAATCTATAATGCCTCATTCTTTCTGTTCTCTCTCATTCTTTCTGCAAGGTGCATGGCATGCTGGGAGATACATTAGTCATACAGAGAAAAGGAGATGCGCTATTTAAATTGATTTCTATTCTGCCTTTCTCCCAACACAGGATTTAAGGTGAATATTCAAACAAATCTGAAAATCTGGGAAGTTACACTAAGTTACATCTACAAGTTGGTAATGTAGCTTAGATAAACAAAGGGATATCACTACCAATCAGACAGAAATCTAGATCTGAAACTGATCCACATGAGGGTTACCCCTTCAAAGAGATTTCTCCAAAGACTTGACCGATCCATACATTGAAGGTTATAGACCAGCATATGGAGGGGCACCACTATGAGAAAAGGCACAGTAAGAAGTCAAGGCAGAAAGCAATGTTGCAAGTCTGGACAAGGCGTTCAGTCCTGCTCTTCATTCCAAAAACACAGGCTATACAACCAACTTTGTTCTACTTGTATATTAAAGGCTTACCTTGCTAGGTATCTTTCTTTTACCTCCTGTCATTAGGTGCCATTAGTTTCCCTGTACCATAAGCACAAGTATAACAAAGATATAACATTTTCCTTTACTAAAGTTTTGTTACAAGAAAGGTTCACTGAGGGTTTTAGAATTGTTTCTTTACCATATTCTTTGCTTATAATTACTCCCAAAGCTAGAGAAAACATACCCAATGTGAAAGATGTAAACCTATTCCTTTACTAAACATTGATGCTAATAAAGATCCTTACTAACAGACTGCACTCTGAGGATGCCTGCCATAGATGCAGGTGCAATGTCAGGAGAGAATGCTTCTAGAACATAGCCGTACAGCTCGAAAAACCTACAACCCAGTGGTTCCGGCCATGAAAGCCTTCGACAAGACTGCAATAAGTTATAACAATCATGGTTCTAACTTACGTATTGGATTGTGTATGTATTGGATTTATTCAATACATACAAGAACTTCAAGATTTTCAGATTGGTTGACATGATTGTTTTAAATGATGATCTTATTTACCTGCTGTTCTCATTAGATGCTAAAAAAGATGTGAACAAAGTATATTGGCAATTTATCTTGGTTAAATTTGAGAATTTTTGGAATGGATCAGATTTCTTTATTAACTTCTAGAATTCTGAACATTGGCATGCTATTTTTGTTGTGTCCCTTTGAAACAATTATCATCAAGCAGGGTGTCCCTTTTCTCTTCTTACAGATGACTTATGGTTGAAAGCTTTGAGCTGTGTCATTAGGTACAATAATAATATCCATGCTTTTATGCATGATTTTTAGAAGTTAAAATTGTTCTTCATGCAAGTGATCTGTTATTATTTTACAGAAGGTAGTAGGTTATGTTTTCAGGATTTTGTTTCCATTGCCACAGTCCTGTTGTTTATTACAACAGCTGTTTTAATTGTATACTTCTAGTAGAACCCTCAGCAAAATCTGAACACACATATCCTCGAGATTGTGCTGAGATCCGCAAGCAGGGTATCCAAGACAATGGGATTTACACCATCCAGCCCATTCCTCTTCGACAACCTTTTGAGGTAAGGTAGGTAGTTTGAGATAAATATATCTATAATAACAAAAGATAATGTACCTGTCAGAATTGCAGTGTCATGATGATGAAATGGACACCTAAAAATTGTTACATATGCGTAAAAGAGCAGAGGTGTACAGTATTTCTAAAATCTGTCACTTTAAATATGTTTAAAGTCTGCAGTACCAACTTCTATCACTAGGTAGTAGACTCCTCACTTTAGGATGGTGTGTCGGATCACTGAGGAATAGAAGACCTTGCATCAGCTCTGGATCTACAGTCCAGTCTGTAGTGGTGAATGGAAACCGTTGGTTGTGACCACATAACAGTCTAGAGATTAAGTAACAAAACTCCCTGTAAAATTACAAAGCTACTGCTCTCACTGAATGTGCTCATAAGCCTTTGGGTATAGGATGCTTAGCAAATTCATAGGGAAGTAGAATGGCCTAACAAACAATTGATAGAGGTATTGTGAACACATTTGTTCTTTTGGGGGATGAGCAGTGAAGAGCTGTATTTTGGGTATAGAATATCAGAGATCTCCTCACATTAAGAGACTGCTCTAAAGTTGTTGCTGGTTGTAGGTGCAATATAGATAAGATGATGTTTTGAGGTGAACTATGACACCATCGTGCTGCCCTTTCATTTAAAAGAGCTCCCAAAAGATAGTTTCTAGGGCCATTATACAAAGAGCAATGTAACAGATAGTGTATTAAATCCTCTCTTTTCCCCTACCCACAAATACAAACAGTACGCGAGAAAAGTTTTCAAACCACAATAGCATCCAAGTAAACTTTCAGAGAAGTTTTTGTTGATGAAAAGTAAAAGAAAACGAGTAGACAATCCTTCTGAAGAGGTAAATTCCGGTCTGAATAGTTTCCACTTATATTTGTAGAAACATTAAGCAGAGTTCTTTCAGCAGCAGAAAGAATAGAAATAAATCTTAGAGAAGTAATGATACAATTCTCCATATTCTGAGATGGAGTATTTTGAGATCCTGGTGGAGTATTTCACTTTGGCAGTTGAACAGGTTTAGACACCTGTTGCATTTGCTGCCCACCCGCTACACTTGCTTTCCTTTGGAAAGGTGTTGCAATGGAGCAAACCAATGCTCTGGGTGATTCAGTACGCCAGAACAAGCCAAGGGATGGAATACTGTGAGAACTCTATGGCTTAACCCAGATAAATAATGGTAAGGACCTAGGAATATGTGGCTTACAATCAACAGGAATATGTGGCCACGCTCCAAAAAGTGCAATAATGATGGTATAGCTTGGTAGCCCAAAATAATAGCAAATTGGACTAGATGGAATTGGTACTGGTGGAGGTGTCATTCTTAGGGAGCAGTCAAAAATGCGACTTCAAAGATGATTAAAAGTTCTTGTAAACTAAGGGATGATATTTTTGCTGCTTGAATTGCTTCTTTTGAAATGTTGAAGCATTTCAGCACTGAAGAATGGCAAGATGATCTCACTGTCAACTTGGAGCAACAGAATGATAAAGATGTCTGGTGACATTTGCAAGTGGGGGGAAAGGATGAGCCAAAAGGGATCAAGGCAAATTGAAAGTTAGGGGTTTTTTAGTCACAGACAAAGACAGGAAGATGAAGAAAGCTATTGATATTTTGAAGGAGAAATGAAGTAAAAAACAGGGGGAAGCTACCAAATAGGGGAATACACAAAGTGAAGCTGTTTTTTATGATGGGTGAAAAAAGATGAGGACAATAGTTTGACAGGTTGGGACATGTGTGCTAAGCCGGAGAGGGCAGATTATTCTCACCAAGCAAATCAGTTCTAGAAGTTTCTGAATGGAGTCTCTAGTAAAGGTAAAGGTTTTCCCCTAACATTAAGTCCAGTCATGGGGGTTGGTGCTCGAAGAGCTGGCATTGTTTGTAGACACCTCCAAGGTCATGAGGCCGGCATGACTGCATGGAGTGCCGTTACCTTCCCTTCAGAGCAGTATCTATAGATCTACTCACATTTGCATGTTTTTGAACTGCTAGATTGGCAGAAGCTGGGGCTAACAGCAGGAGTTCACCCCGCTCCCCAGATTTGAACTGGCGACCTTTCGGTCAGCAAGTTCAGCAGCTCAGTGTTTAAACCACTGCTCCACCAGGTGCTCCAGAATGTTTGACAGGTTGGGACATGTGTGCTAGACTAAACTTGTCATAACTATAGTTCCTGGGAGAAGGGGATTGTTATAATTCCCAATGCAATTATATGCCCCAAAAGAACTTCTTTAATAAGAAAAAAAATCTCAAGTACAGCAGATGTCACTGTATATAGACAGGCTATAGAAACAAGTGAAAGGGTTGTTCTGGATTCTGTAGAACAGGGATGAAAACAGGTCCCAAATTGCAATAGTGAGATGGTAGGAATTGAATTGAATAGTTGGGAGATCTAAACATCACCCGCCCTGCTGCTCTATAGGAATTTGTGATACTTTTATGACCCCCCCCCCCTTTTCTCTTAGGCATACTGTGACATGGTGACTGATGGTGGTGGCTGGACCATGATCCAGCGTCGAATGGATGGCACTGTGGACTTCAACCACACCTGGCAGGAGTACAAGAAAGGATTTGGCAGCTTACAAGGGGAGCACTGGTTGGGCAATGAACATCTCCACAGTTTAACCCGCCTGGGCCAACATGTCCTGCGTATAGAACTGGAGGACTGGCATGGTGTCAAGCGACATGCCATTTACCGCAAATTCAAAGTGGCTAGTGAGGCCAACAGGTATCGTCTGACAGCTCGGGAATACCAAGGCAACGCAGGCAATGCTCTGAGCTACAGCCGCAACTACAACCATGATCACAAATGCTTCACAACATGGGACATTGACAATGACAACTACTCCATGGGCAACTGTGGTACATATTATGGGGCTGGCTGGTGGTTTGACTCATGCCTGGCTGCCAACCTTAATGGGAAGTACTACCATGGACGTTACAGTGGGGTGACCAATGGCATCTACTGGGGAACGTGGTATATCTTGATTGATAAAAGAACCAATCAGAAGTATTCCTTCAAAAAAGTGGAAATGAAAACTAGGCCTGTTAACTTTTAAGAGAAGCATGCAACCAAAGAAGGTGACCTTCAAAAAGCTTTAAAGTGCTGTGCTGAGCAAAAGATACAACAGGGTGCATCAGCAATCTAGAGCTTAGGGCCACACTGACCCACATCTCACCTTCCTTAATTGTCTGGAGCTGAAAACCAATTGAAACATTTGGGGTTTAAATGCTTTGACACCCGAGTGCTTACCTTTCCCTGAAGGCCAAAGATCATGTGCCAACTTGCCTTTGTATGGGACTCATCTCATGAAATAGTAAAATACTGTAAGCAGAGGTGCTAAATACAAAAGCAAAATGAGGAGGAGCTAGGTGGAGGTAAGGTAAGAGAGCTGCCTTAAAACAAATCTGGGCATTCTTTGCTCTTTTTGAAGGTAGCAATAAGATATCCAGTTAGCATTATAAAAGGTCAATTCACAGTGAACCTCAGACATTGGAAAAGCACTAAGCGTAACTAGGACATGGGAAAACAACAAAGAAGCAAAGTAAAAGCAAAAGTGTGCTCTGATTCTTTTTGCAAAGTGACAAATTTCATGTGGGCTGTAGTACTCTTAAGAGTTGCATGGTGCAACCCAAACAATTGTGCAACATGACCCAAACTCTAGTTACTGTCTCTATACTTCTAAACAGTTATTCTTGTGTTTCATTTCACATTTAAGATGTTTTGCAACATTGATGTATGGACCTAAAATTCAAATAGTGCACAATCGTGTATTTACCTAATACAATGGACACTCAGAAGCAAAATTACATGGGCTTCTGTGTGCTACAAGTACTTTAAGGTTAAAGTTCCTTTTAACGTATTTATATTTAAGCATTTGGCAGTTGTGACCCATTTTTTGTATTACTTGGTATTCTATCTATGAGTTTAAGAGCAAGGGTTTTGTTGTAAACTCATCTGTAATCTTAATTAAAGCTATTATTGCATTTTTAGCATAGGAAGCTTGTTTTATATGGAGAGCAGCACAAATAGCCTATTTCTATATGGATCAGTCTGGTGCTTACATATGAAAGTTGTCTTAACTCTGTTACCAGCTAATAGAATACTGTCTTCCTGTGTAACAATGAGGGCTCTAAATACCCTTAAGGCATGACATGCAATCTGATCTTAGAAGCTTAAGCAGGATAAACTCTGGTGAATACTTGGATGAGAAACCACCAACAAATACCAGGTGCTGTAGGTTGTCTACCAGGTCATCTGTAAGTTCAAACAAAGGCATTGGCAATATCAAATCTAAGTATTTTTTACCGAAGAAAACTCTGAAATGCATAGAGCACCATAAATTAACATGTCACACACACACACGACCTGTGGTGTACAAGCAGATTCTCATTTTCTGACACAGGATACACTGAAGGGCATCTAGTTAAATTCTTGCCAAGATAAAGATAAATTATTGCCTCTAGAACATGGCCATATAGCCCGAAAAAACCCACAAGAACTAAAGATAAATTCTTGCCAACACTCTAGAGCAGTGTTTCTCAACCTTCCCAATGCCATAACCCCTTAATACAGTTCCTCATGTTATGATCACCAACCATGAAATTATTTTCATTGCTACTTCATAACTGTAATTTTGCTACTGCTATAAATCGTGATGTAAATATCCGAAATGCAGGATGTATTTTCATTCACTGGACCAAATTTGGCACAAATACCCAATACGCCCACATTTAAATACTGGTAGGGTTGGGGGAGCTTACTGATTTTGTTATCTGGGAGTTGTAGTTGCTGGGATTTATAGTTCACCAACAATCAAAGAGCCTTCTGAACTCCATGAACGATGGAATTGAACCAAACTTGGCAAACAGAACTCCCATGACGAACAGAAAATACTGGAATGGTTTGGTGGGCATTGACCTTGAGTTTTGGAGATGTAGTTCACCTACATCCAAAGAGCATTGTGGACTCAAACAATGATGGCTCTGGACCAAACTTGGCATGAACACTCAATATATCCAAATGTGAACACTGGTGGTTTGGGGGAAATAGACCTTGACATTTGGGAGTTGTTGTTGCTGGGATTTATAGTTCACGTACAATCAAAGAGCATTCTGAACACCACGAACGATAGAATTGGGCCAAACTTCCCCCACAGAACCCGCTGCCTTGAAGGGACTCGAAGCATGAGCCTCCCTCCAGCCTTGAATGCTCTCCCTTGCCCACACATGCGCACCATGCTGCCATGCACCTAGCCCGCCTGCTCTCTCCTCTCCGCTTGAAGACTCAGAAACAACCCTCCCCTTGGCTGAGAGGCCAGCCAATCACAGAGGAGGAGGGCTTTTGGTGGGAGGATTTAACATCTGTTTCCAAAAAGGAAGAGAAAGACAGGTGGAGATACCTTCTGCCTTCTCTGTCAAAGGGATTCCTAAGACCATCAGCAATATATGCTTTCTGATGGTCTTTGATGACCCCGCTGAAACCCCCTCGTGAACTCTCCCCCAAGGGTCCTGACTCCTAAGTTGAGAAAAGCAGCGCTAGAGGGAATTACTAGTTTAGGATTTGAACGCATTAAAAATGGGAAGGATGTTCCCCACTTCTCACCCATGACTGTGTAGCTATGTTGTATGGAGCACAAAAGAGGGGTAAGAAGGGCGGCATATAAATGTTGCAAATAAATAAATAAATAAATAAATAAATAAATGAATGAATGAATGAATGAATGAATGAATGAATGCCTTATTGTCCTGAATGAAAACTCCTATGTTACTAGCCATAACAAATTATGAGATACATTTTTTAAAAATTACATTGTTTCATGGCTGCCTCTGCCTGTATGAAAGCAAGAAAAAAAGGCCACTGGGCATCTTTACTCTTCTGCTAGAAACTGGAAGACAAAGGAAAATGGTCAATGGAAAAGGAGAAATTAAAGGTATTGAAATAGCTTGTATAATACCACTGTGCTATTAGTTATGTTCATTTCACAAACTTGTAACAAGTTGCTCAGTTCATTAGCATTAAATGATAGAACACTCGGGTAAAATAAAAACAAGATGCAGAATATCCATGAGCCTTTATTTCAGTTTGAGCTTTCCTACAAAGTTTTGTGGGTTTTTAATCTCCCAAAGAAAAAAAACATCGTAAAAAAAGCACAGGCTTATAGGCAAATGACTCACTCATTCTCTCAGTTGCACTGGATTCTACCTGAAGCTGTAAATTCAACAGGCTCAGAAGATTCAGGTATCAGAAACTCAATCTGTGCAACAAACAGTAAAAAAAATCCTTTGTTCAAGTTACTTATTGATTCCCCATCTCCAAAATACATGAGTATAAATTGAAAGGGGGTCGACAAAAAGAAGCAGTTGCTAGTACACCTCTGAACATAACCAGATATTGATTCTGAAACATTCAATGCCAATTGAATTGAATTCACTGCCAAAATGATCATTAGCACACTTTTCAAAAAGATTTTGAAAACTTCAGGCAAGGATTACTACTATAGTAAACCCAAAGCATGGTACAGCACATCTTTCCCAGTTTTCAGGTGTCATGGAGCAAACAGGCCCTTAAAAAGTAATGCCAAATTTTGAAGGCAGTTTCAAATAAATTCTTCCTTGTTCCAATTCTCTATGGCATACACGTTTCCCTCACCCCAGCTCCCAATTTAGTGTGGCTCAGTATGTCTTTACAACCACCTTTCTCCCCTTTCCATCAACCTTTTGACTTCTAATTTATAGGGCATCAAGGATGTTGTCGATTTTGCTAATCAGCTCCAGACGCTTCTGAGAATTGATCTTCTCATTTTCTATATACGTATCCTTCTTGAGTTTGCCAACCACCAAACGTTCTGCTTCCACAGAAGATTTCAGAACCAGATCCTTGACTTGACCATCAAGTTTCTGGATTTCACTCACCTTAAAGAAATGTAGGAAATGATGTTAGAAGCCTGGACATGAACCACAACTTTACAAGTAATAATGATTTTAGAAAAAATACAATATCAACATCTGCACTATAGGCTGGAGAGTGTTCTTTAAAGCCAAACACCTTTGAAGATCCCTCTCTGAACAGCAGTGAATTTGCAATTTATTTATTAATTGTTTATTTACTGCATTTATATACCGCTTTTCTCACCCCTGAGAGGACTCTTAGAAGTGTACAAAAAGGAATGGCAAAATCCAATGCCATAATAGCTAAAACAACAACAATAATAACTATACATCAAACCTTTAAATCATATCAAATCTAGAACATAAATAGACATTTAAAATAAAAGTATAGAATTAAAAGAGGTTAATATAACATTAAAATCACAGAATCCAGAATCGTAAGCCAAGGCCATTCCTATTGTCAACTGCACTTAGGTCCTATTTCTGTCTAGTACTGCATTACTTTACTGCACGAAGGCTTGGTCCCATACCCATGTCTTTACATTTTTTTCTGAAGGCCAAGAGGAATGGGGCAAATCTAATTTCACTAGGGAGGGAGTTCCAGAGCCAAGGGGCCACCACTGAGAAGGCCCTGACTCTCATTCCCAGCAGTCGTGCCTGCGAAGGAGGTGGGACTGAGAGCAGGGCCTCCTCAAAAGATCTTAATCTCCAAGATAGTTCATGGTAAGAGATGCATTTGGACAGGTAAGCTGGGCCGGAACCATTTAGGGCTTTATAGGCTAAAGCCAACACACTGAATTGTGCTCGGTAGCCAACAGGCAACCAGTGGAGCTGGCGCAACAGGGGGGTTGTATGCTCCCTGTATGCAGATCTGGTGAGGAACCTGGCTGCCGCCCATCGGACCATTTAGAGCTTCCGAACAGTCTTCAAAGACAACCCCACGTAAAGCACATTGCATTATTCTATTTGGGATGTAACCAGAGCATGGGCCACCGTGGCCAAGTCTGACTTCCTAAGGTACAGGTGCAACTAGTGCCCGTACCTGCCAAACATCAAGAAGAGCAAGACCAAACCACAGACTGTGACACCAGAACAGACTGAAGTAATCTGACGAAGTAGACTTAAGTCTACGAAAGAGCATACCAGGTATCTTCCTGTTCAGAGGTTCAAAAAGACATATAGCTCACACCCATGTCAACACAATTTATAATCAAGACGGCTGTATGCCTAATAAGTTTCAGTCACTAATGATGAGCAGTACCTCGGATGACACATTTCATTTCAGAGTAGCGCTCCTGTTAAACCAAATGATAGCCAGGAGGCCTGGCACGGCCATGGAATGGATTGGTATGTTACTCATGCAGCATTACAAGGAGATTAACATTTGGGCATGACTGCTGCCTTTAGGGAACATTCTCATCCTCTCAACTAAGGCCTTGGCAGAATTATATGGTGAATTCAAGCCAATGGGTCCTGGCCAGCAGGGATGGACGACAGCACTGGTTTAGGTATTTTAAACCTGGCCATCCATTGTGTAAGATCTTAACTGAACAATGATTTGGAGGCTTTTCCTTTACAAAAAGCCTAAGGAAATATGCTTGGAATTCAATACTGGACTATCAGAAAAGCCAGAACCATCCATTCAGGTTATTATAACTCATTATTATGAGTTAGAATATCTTTAAGCTCGAAGTGACATGTGCGTCAGGTAGACATTTGCTTCTGAAATGGCATGAAACATTTGGAATAAGCATCAATGAATACAAATAGAAGCAATACCTAGAAGAGCCCACACTTACTTTGTCACACAGGTCAGAGCCTTCGGTCTTCAGCTTAGACTGCAATGAGGCTATTTCATTGGTTAAGGTCTTATGCTCAGTCTCCAGAGACTTTTTGCCACTGTTTAAGGTGGAAATATCCCGGGTTTGCTTGTACTTATTCACAGCTTCATCAAAAAGTCGGTAAAGACATAATCTCTTATTTACTCCAGTGAGAACCTGCTCTGTAATGCAAGCCACTTTCATTCTAGCTTCTGCTGCTGGATCCTGCAAAAATACAAGGGAGTACAAGCAGAAATGCTTTAGATTTAGAACCCAGCCAATTATATAGTGCACTTACATGTTCAAATTGCTCCAAATATTCTCTTGGTAGTGTTTATACAGACTCTGTAAAGCGGCTTAGCATTATGCCCTGGAAGTAAGAAACCAATGCAGAGCAGTAGCTTTGTGAAGTGGTTTGAACATTGGACTATGACCCTGGAGAACATGATCTGAATCCTGCTAGACCTCAACAATCCAATGGATCAGTTGCACATTCTTAGCTTCAAACAACACAATGACATGATTGCCATAAGTCAGAAATGACTTGAAGGTAAACAACAGCAACACCAATTGAGATAACCTCTGTACACTGGCCTTCGGAGAGCAGGATGATTCACTTCTTATGCTTCTATTCTGCCTGATGAGGCTGACTGAGAACATATTGCCCCAACTCATTGCACAGCCACATTTTTATTGTTCAATTTTCATGTTGCTCTTATTAATTCACTATGCTATTTATGGAACTTATTACTTGTTTTAGTGATTGCTGTGTTATTTGTAAATTTGTAATTGTTTAATTGCTTTTTACTGCCCTTTATCTCTATTTTGTTTTTGTAAGCTGCCCTGAGTCCCTTAGGAGAGAGAGGGCAGGTTATATATAGTCATTGTTTTTGTTGTCGTCATCATCATACAGAAAGATAAGCAAAATTTGGACCAGGAAGCTCACAGCTTGCAGTACAATCCCTTTGCCACTAGATTGTATAATTTGCACAAAAAAACATAACATGAAATTTACTAAAGGGACCTGCCAGAAAAAAATGAGCCAGCATGAGGAGCAACCCCTAGCATATAACTTGCTCCAAACAGGCTCAGGTTGTGAATAGGACAGGACATCCCCTGAGCAAGTGGGATCTGGGTCCGGGAAAATTAGGAACTGAAAGTACAGTTGTTTTTTTAAAACTTTACAGAAAGTAAAGAAATTTAGTCAATGCAAAAAAAAAAAAAACTTACTCAATGTCAAAAGACGCCCATTTCCCTACTTATGTAATATTTGGGTGATAATGTTCATTTATAATTTTGCCACTCCCCAGTAATCTAACTCAAGGCTGCTTGCAAAATATCAAAACCAGTACAAATTAAACCGTAAAAAAGCAACAAAATATAAAAAGCAACAAACTGATATCAATTGTCCTAACACATTCTGTAGTCTACACTGAGGGTATATCTCAGGTTTGGTACCTTAGTGATAGAGAAGTCCAGCCTCACATAGAGAATCACGGTAAAGAATAGGATATAGAAGGCTCCAACAACCAGCAGAGGTTCTTGCAACATCAGGACCTTGTTAAAGGTGTAATGGACCTGGAAGAAACAGGACAAGCAATGAGATGGAGGACACTGCTATTAAAGATCTACACTTCTAAACAGAAAACTGAGCTACTTAAATGTTCAACTATTAAGATCTTCACTTACTCGCAGAAACCTGGCCTGTTGCAGCCATACATTATGTTATTATAAATATAGAAAAAAATGGGCAGATAAGTGAAGTACTTTTAACACACTACCCAATGTAAGCAAGGGAATTATTTGTTCAGCCACTTCCAACTCTCCGTGACCTCATGGACCAGCCCACGCCAGAGCTCCCTGTCAGCTGTCGCCAGCCCCAGCTTCTTCAAGGTCAAGCCAGTCACTTGAGGGAAAACATCCATCCATCTTGCCCTTGATTG